AGATGATTTTATGAGTTAAATATCTCATAAAAATGTAGAATTTTTATGTCCAACTTTACGTAAAGATCTCGTGACAAATATTTAATGTCAAGAAAGAAAATCAATGATTTATGAATTTGTTTATGAAACAAATATCATCCATCATCATCTCTACACCTTAATCCTCACTATGGGGGCGGAGCCTGTCCCAGCTGACTCAGGGTGAAGGCAGGTTCACCTGGACAGGTAACCAGTCTATCACAGGGCTACACTTAGAGACAGACAACCAAGCACACTCACATTCACACCTACGGACAATTTACAATCACCAATTAACCTCAGCATGTTTCTGGACTGTGGGAGGAAGCCGGAGAACCCGGAGAGAACCCACGCTGCACGGGGAGAACATGGAGACTCCACGCAGAGAGATCCCGGGTGTCCTCATCTAGCTGTGAGGCGCTAACGATGCTAACGGTGCTAACCACTGATCCACCTGCAGGCCTGTAAACCAACATTTTACACAAAAAAACAAACAAGAAACGTCCATAAAGAAACAGTGAATCGTGCAAACAGCTCAGTGAGAAGCTGATTTCAGCCTCAGATGAGATGTGATGATGCTCCTGAAGAAGTCCAACCAGCTCCTGGATCAGGACTCCTCCAGACTGACGGAGGAACACGGAGTGACGTGATCATCTGGACGTCTTCTGCTTGTCTTTTTAAAGCCGTCTTTCTTCCTCCTCCTCTCTGATGCTCGTTGCTTCTCTCCTTCCTCCAGCGCTTTGCTCTCGTCTCTCCTGCAGCTCCTTCAAACCCTCGCCGTCAAACCTAAAGTGCATTTAAGCGTCGGTGGATCACAGTCATTTAGCGCCATTACCGTAATTACCGTCAACAAACGGGACCATTACGGGCAGATTAGCATCTCCTCGCCGCCTCACGCTTCCTCTTCTGGAGTGAAAATGTTTTTGTCTTTTAGCCTAAACTGAACCAGAACATCGTAGCGGCGACCATCAGCGTGTTTCCACTGGTTACCGACTTCCTAAACAAGAAAAGCAGCTGTGATAAAGTCTGGTTTGATGGTGTCCTTCACGCAGAAGCTTCCAGTGAAGTCCAGACCTTCTTCTGTTTGACTGATCGATTATTGAAATTAATCGCCTGGTCTGAAGCTGATCAACTCGTCAGACGGTCAGTTTGTGGAGTCGAGCAAATGAAACGGATTTAACCAGAACTTTCTTCTATTTCATGAAGCCGTGTGAAGTTCTGCCTTCATACCGGAGATGTTTCGTTTTAACACTTTTTGTTGGTTTTTCCATCATTTCTGAGCCTCAAACGACGACAAATGTGGACAAATTTTAAGTCACCTTGGAAAACGACTAAAATACGTCCAAAATTACTCAAAATGCATTTTTTGACTAGTTTTGAATAATGTTTGTGTAATTTTTGAACGACTTTCACGTCACTTTGAACAGTTTTTGGAGTTATATCGGACATTTTTGCAGCATTTTGCAGCATTTTCGTGTCATTTTTAACAATCCATGAGTCATCTGGATGTCATTTTTTGATGGATAAAAAACACATTTGAGTTCCTGGTAAACACTGACACTGGTTTTTGTTCAGCACCAAACCAACAAATGCCTCAAATTTACCAAATTTACCAAATTTACCAAACAACCAGACCACTTCCCAACAGGACAGGTTTAGATTTGACAAACTTCAAGTCGTTCTGAGTAAATCTGGATCATTAATGTCTAATTTTCGACAACTTTCACGTCACTTTGAAATATTTTTGGGACAGTTTTGGACATTTGAGCCATTTTCGGCCATTTTTTAAAGTAATTTTTGGAGAATTCTTATATATTTAGACAGTTTGTGGGTCATTTTGGTCATTTTTTTTGTTTAATTTTGGACAATTTTATGTCCTTTTGATGGATAAAAAACACATTTGAGTTCTGTTTAGAAACCAGATCAGTTCTACATCCATCCAGGAGTCACAGTCTGAAGACAAACTGGAAGCATTTAAAGACCTGTTGGATGTTTTTGAGTCACTGAAACCATTTTCCAGTATTTTTGGATCATTTTCATGCGATTTTGAACCATTTGTGAGTCATTTTGGACAAATTTTGAGACATTTGGTGTCAATTTATTTGTAATTTTAGACGACTTTAATGTAATTTGAGTAGTTTTTGATGGAAAATGCAGTCGAGTCTCCCCCTGGTGGAGCAACCAGGTACCACAGCTGGTCTACGATGCATTTACTGACATGCACAAACTTAATGAATCAATTATCAACAACATCTCTAATGGAAACCCGGCTCGTGTTTCTGGATCCGATGGCAGAACCATATCTTCGGATCGTCCCGGCGCTGAAGGAAAACATCCTTCAACGTGCTTCAAGTAAAACCAAATCGTTTTTTTTAAAGATTCAATCAGAGCTTTTTCTTTCTTTCACATCATAAGTTGAAGTTTGAAGAAAAAAAACAGCCTCGAGCCACAAAATCCAAAGCAAATGATTGTTTATGTTCTCAAAACACTTCTTTTAAGTGAACTTTGAGGCTTTCTTCTCTCACATAGAGAAGTTTAAAATCTCGTCCGTGGCTCTCTGCCGCCGCCCGTCTGTCCTCCGCCTCCTTTTGTTCGTGTCTTCTTCTTGACGCTGCGTTCGAGTCCCTCCGGCTTCGTCCGTACGCGAGGCCGGTGGAGGCGTGAGGCGCTGCTGAGCTCTGAACACGAGACGGACGCCGACTCGTAAACTTGTTTTGATCCACACAAGCCTCCGACGAAGCGACTCACACATGCACTGGTGTTGGTCTGCACATGGCCCCGGGGAAGAGACGAGGCCTTCAAGGCCACCGAGGAACCTTCAGTCGACCACAAAACAGGAATTTTTATTTTGTGTTTTTTGGTGGGCATTTCCCAAGTCGTGTGTGTTTGTAGATATGTGTTTGAAAGAAGATGGAAAAGCCACAATAAAGGCTCCTATTAAAGCAGGAAGGCCACATTTGGCTTCTCCAGTTCACTCCTCATCACTGCTGCCACACAAGAAATGCGTCACTTCCAGCTTCGGGCTGAATAATTAGACACGATGCATTAAGGCGGACAATGCTTCACAACGTTTATCTCAATTATTGCTTCTTTTTTTTTTCTTTCTTGCAACCATGCATTCAATTAAATGGTGCAAATGGGTCCATTAGAGTCTGCACTCAATACAAAACAGGCATTTACATGAGCTTATCTTCACTTGAATTTGGTTTTAAATGCAGAAGTTGGAGTTTAATTTAGAGATAACGTTTAATTAAGTGGTGCAGACAGAGTCCACACATTTAAAACTAATATTTAGATTGGACATAATATTACAACAGTTTGCATTAAGTTGATGCAAGTAGCGCCCCATCGAAATAACGTTTGTACTGAAAAGGTTTATTAAAATCAAAATAAAATAGTTAGCTAGTTAGCTAGTGCCACAGAAAGCCAATATAGGTAATACATATTGCTACTAGTTTAACCTAAAATCAGCTAGTTGATTTGTTAGCTTGTGCTACACCAAGTTAATGTAGCACAATATTACTAGCTTAGCCTAAAATCAGCTAGTTAGGTAGTTTGCTGGTGCTACTTAAAGCTAATATAGCATAGTGTTACTAGCTTAACCTAACGTCAGCTAGTTAGTTTATTAGCTAATGCTACAGCAAACTAATATAGTACAGTGTTACTAGCTTAACCTGAAATCAGCTTTTCAGCTAGTTAGCTAATGCTACAGCAGGTTAATATAGCACAACGTTATTAGCCTAACCTAAAATAAACTAGTTAGCTAGTGCTACGTCAAGCTAATGTATTATAATGTTGCTAGCATAACTTAAAGTAAGCTGCTTAGCTAATTAACTAGTGCAACAGAAACCAAATATAGCATAATGCTATTAGTTTAACATAAAGTCAGCTAGTTAGGTAGTTAGCTAGTGCTACGACAAGCTAATATAGCACACTGACTTAACCTAAAATCAACTAGATAGCTAGTGCTACGACAACCTAATGTAGAATAATGTTACCAGCCTAACTTGAAGTCAGCTAGTTGGCTGGCTAGCTAGTGCTACAGAAACCCAATATAGCATGTTGCTGCTAGTTTGAGTAAGCTAGTTGTTTTATTAGATATTGATACAGCAAGCTAATAGAGGACAATTTTACTAGCTTAGCCTAAAATCAGGTAGTTAGGTAGTTTGCTAGTGCTACAAAAGCTAATATAGCACAATGTTAGTAGCTTAACATGGTGTCAGCTAGTTGGGTAGTTTGCTAGTGTTACTAAAACCTAGCATGGCATAATGTTACTAGCTTAACCTGATGTTAGCTAGTTAGCTGGCTAGGTAGTGCTACATGTGCGACAACTTCCAACTCATCAAAATCACGTTTGCAGCTGAAAAGGTTTGTTTAAATCAGCAGAACAACGTCTGTTCTCTTTTAAAACTGTGTTTTTTTTCTAGCATCATCCTGATGTGACCAAACCGAAGCAGTTGTGTGTGTTTGTGGATATTTGTGTGTTTGAAAGACAGACAAAAAAAAAAGAAGAAGATGGCGAAAGTGGAGAAAACACAATAAAGGCTCTTATTAAAGCAGAAAGGGCACATTTGGCTTTTCTGATTCTCTCCTAATCAGCCGCTGCGATGCACTAAATTTGTTTTCCGGCGTGCGGCTGAACAATCAGATGCGACGCATTATGGCGGTAATGCGCTGTGCGGCGCGTAAAGTGGCCGTAATGCCACCGCGACGCTCGGCAGAGCGAGGGTTCCCGCTAGAATGACAGACGGCCGTTATGAAGCAGCACAGAACCAGCCGGGCCTGATACAGACTGTCGGGCCTCTAAAGCCTTTGAACAGTGGAAGAGTTCTGCTGTCCTTGGATGAGAGTCCTCACCGTGTCAGTTTGTCGGTTCTGGCCTTTCCTCCGTCAGTGTTTCCTTTGTGTGCCTGTGTAGTCGCTCATTTAGCGACAGATGACTTCCTGTAACGCCGTCTCTCTTCCTCTTCCCGTCTCTGCAGGGAGACGATGTGCTGACGGTGATTAAAACCAAGGCTCAGTGGCCGGCGTGGCAGCCGCTCAACCTGTAAGTATGACTGTGGACGGCCCCACTGTGAGGGATGAGGGTGGAAATTACACGAATGAATCAGGAAACGGCAGCTTTACACTCAAATGGATATCCAAATGTGTGAGCATTAAGTGTACGGCAAGCTGTTGGAACATTTCACCGCTCAGTTTGACTCCCTGGAATTAAAATTAGAGGCATCAATAATTTCGACTAATTACTATTGAGGCTATTTAGAAGTTTTATTCTGTGTTATATCCGTAACAGCGACACTTAGACATCTCTGTAACTCAGTTTGGACTCATTTAAGTAGCAGCTGCAGATCTCGCAAACGTCATTACGACTGTTCTGAGTTATCTCGTGCCAGACTTCTCATTAAACGTCGGCTTCTAACGGCGTCAGCAGGAGTAATAGCTGCTGATAGGATGGTTAGAGAATGGAGGGCTTTGTTTGTTTTGGATTCGCACATTTACCAGAACTTTGGCTTCGGGCTGCTTTCACATCAGTCGGCAGCTACTACGCGTAATTATGCCAAATAGAGTCAAACCTCGTTAGCATCATTCTCACTGGTTCAAACCCAGTTGAAGAATCTAAACAGGACAATTAACGATAGCTTGAACAGCAATCATGACTTCTCCGAGTTAAACTGTAAATATCTTAAACGTGACTTTTAGCGAGTCGGAATTCAGCTGCTGATGTTTATAACTCACATCGTGGATGTCTGCTGTTGGGTATGTCGTAATCTCGTTTTTAGCTCCTGGTCTGATACCATTTGCCTTGATGATACACATTTCCGCTATCGTAGACCAGCTGTAGTACCTGGTTGTTCCACCAGGTGGCGCCTCTCACTGTTTAATGAGACGGACGTACATGTATGTTTGCTGAGCGACTCTAAGGGTCCATAAAACAAGCGCACCTCCTTGTAGTAACGTTGATGAACTCTTCAGCATCAAATTGTAAAATGATGTCTACCTACTGTCCAGTTTAGCTAGCTACCAGACGATCATGCTAACAATGCTAAGCTAGGAGGTTCTAATGCTAGCTAGCACAGCTGAGTGTTTGTGAGAGAGGGTTAGAGGGTGGATCCCCAAGCTAGAAAATATGGAGAACGTACAAGTCAGTAAACGTACCATAGAGCAGCTGTAGTACCTGGTTGTTCCAGCAGGTGGAGCCTCTCACTGTTTAGAGACCAGAGGAGGCATCTACAGACTACAGCTCATGGTGGCAGCAGAGAGCATTGTGGGAGTTTAGCAGCAACGGGACCAGAGACTCCGAGGAGGTTGATGAGCTCTGATTAAAAGCTCATGTCGTTGAAAACAGTCGACATTAACGCTGATTAACGAGTCATTTATGGAATAAAAATATCTGTCGACTAAATTAGGACCATCAGCAAACCTTCACTTTGCTCAGCTGGTGTAATCACTTCATTGATTATTGACTAATATTGATAACTGATTCGTAACGACTCGTCGCTGAATCCCTTCGGTGTCGGGATCAAGGTCTGAAGTTTTTGTGTGTTTCTGTTTTCTTGTGAAGGTTCGTTAAGGTTTGTGCTTGTATTTGGTCACAACAGTAATAACCAAGAAGACGACGTTTTATTGATTTCCCTGCTGTGACAGAAACTCTCCCAGTGGCGATAATCTGATGATGCTGGACCTGTAATCCGATTGGTTTCATATCTGTGTGGATCTGGTTTCAGCAGTCAGACGGGCCTCCGGCTGGTGGCCGTCGTTTAGTTCCTTCAAACGAGGTTTAGAGTTTAGAGACTAAATAGAAGCAAAACAGATGAAAAAAAGGTGCAGGTCACCTCAGGTCATCGCTATGACATGCTTAGAAAACAATGTTTGGGCCCAACAACAGAATAAAGACTCGTTTATATCAACCGTTTTGGTTTAATGGAACTTCTGGTGACGTGATGTCAACCCGTAGACGATGCTGAGTTGTAGGAACTAGCTTTGAAAAAACTAATTATCATTTACTATCAAGACAATTTCATTAAGTCCCCTCAACTGAAGTGTCGTTTTAAATGCAGAAGTTTTAGTTCAGATTATGCACAATATCCAAAAGGTTTGTCTAAATCAGCAAAAAAAATAAAAATAAAAAAAATCCACTTTTGCTAAACCATAAATATCAGATAACGTAATATTTATTTCCTTTTTCTTTTCAAACAGTTTTATTACTACCAAATAATTAACAATTAAGAGGTCTGTAGGACAACAGTTATAACTTTATTAGCACTGTTATTTAAATTGCTGGCATAAAAATAATTGTAAATGTTTAGCAAAGTTTAGCCAACAGGAACAACATCAAGGTAGTCAGCTAGTGCTAAAGCAAGCTAATATAGCATAATGTTACTAGCTTAAGCTAAAGTCACATATTTAGTTACTTAGCTTGTGCTAAAGCAAGTTAATATAGCATAATGTTACTAGCTTAACCTTAAGTTAGCTGTTAGATCATAGCATGGCAAGCTAATATACCATAATGTTACCAGCTTAATCTAATATCAGCAAGTTTACTCGTGCCACAGCAAGCTAAATTAGCATCATGTTACTAGCTTAACCTAAAGTCACATATTTAATTACTTAGCTAGTGCTACAGCAAGCTAATATAGCATAATGTTACTAGCTTAACCTTAAGTTAGCTGTTAGATCGCGGCGTGGCAAGCTAATATATCATAATGTTACCAGTTTAATCAAAGTCAGCTAGTTTACTCGTGCCACAGCAAGCTAAAGTAGCATAATGTTACTAGCTTAACCTAAAGTCACCTTGTTAGCTAGCTAGTGCTGCGGCAAGCAAAGAAAGCAGAATTTTACAACCCAACCATGAAGTCATCTAGTTAGCTTATACCTAGCAAGCTAATATAGCATAATATTACTAGCTTAAAGTCAGCTACATAGCTGGTGCCACAGCAAGATATAATCGTGTATTGCTACTAGGTTAATCTAAATTCAGCTAGTTAACTAGTCCTACAGCAAGCTGATATAGCATAATGGTGCTAACTTAACCAAGTTAGTTAGTAAGTTAGCTAGCTTGTGCTACAGCCAGTCAGTATAGCATAATGTTACTAGCTTAACCTAAAGCTAGCTAGTCCACTAGAGCTACAACAAACTAATATAGCATATTGTTACTAGCTTAAACTGTAGTCAGCTGGTTTGTTACTTAGATAGTACTACGGCAAGCTAGCATAGCATAATATTACTAGCTTAACCTGAAGTCCACTGGTTAGCTTGTGCTACTACGACTCTGAAATTTTTACATATTTCAGAAAAAGGTTTTGTTATTTTTTGTTCAGACGGAGAGAACGACTGTTAGCAGTAAATAAAAGCTTGAATGTTTTTATTAGTTCTGTCAGAATTTGACATTATCTTGACTCAGAACCACTTCTTTTGATTTCCTGAGACCAATAAAATGATTTCAATGATATTTAAAGTGAGGTCACTGTGACCCCAAAAAAGGGGGAATATGGCAGAAGGCTTTATTCTGCACATCTTTTTTAATCATGCATTTAATTAAACTGTGTGAACAGGCTCCTTGAATTGCTTTTCCAGATCGTCCGACGCGCTCCGGTTCAGCAGCGTTTCCTCTCCGACCGGATCCAGTCCTGCATTCTGCACCGAGCCCCTGATGGGTTCCATCATTTATTCATCATGTTTTCAGCAGAACACCATCCTGCAGGATGAATTCCTCACATGCTGCCCTGTGGGTCGAGAAAACGGCACAACCTTCGCTTCATAGAGTGAAAAAATCAAAAATCAGGCCGATCAATCAATCAATCAATCAATCAATCAATCAATCAATCAATCAATCAATCAATCAATCAATCAATCAATCAATCAATCAATCGCTGCATCTCGTCGAGAAGTTCTTTGATCAGATCTTACCTTGGAGCCAAGATTGTTGTGAGCTAATCACTTGAAGTAAACAAAGCGATCACTTTATAATCTGCACTAAATAATAAACCCACCTGTTTGTTTGATACGCTCACCTGTCCGACCCGGATCTTCGTTATGAGCAGCAGCAAATCCCTAATTAGCAGCAGAAGTTGGCTAAACGCTTCGTTCCTGACTCTCTGGCTGAACTATAAATTCTCATTCAGATGCTGTTGTGGTGCACGAGATTGTTTCTGCCTTTTCTTTGCGCGCCTCCTTCAAAGCCGGACCGGCTCGTCTCGGCGCTCTGGCATCCGCTGGAATTAGTTCAAGAGCAATTAGGAACTTATCACAACTGCAGCCCGGAGCGCCGCGGACGCACTCGGTGGCGCTAATGCGCCGTATCTCCCGCCGAACATCTGTTTAATTACCCCTCCTAGCATCGTCTGTCATTCGCGATATATTGTGCCGCTATTCTTTTTTTTTTTTTTCACTAATGAGAACATTCGAGTGTCGCACACGAGTCGGTTCTGTGGTGCGGAGTCGGTCCAAAATAGCTCAACACGTGATAATTAGGACGCTGAAGAAACTCCAGATTGTTGTTGGCGGGGTTCCTCGTGTGCAAACACAACGAGCTGCTGCTAATTGGGGGCTTCGGGGCTTCGACTGTGCGGCGGGTCGGAGGTCGCGACACCAGAACCGGATGTTTTCGGCGGAAGCTGCTCGGGTTTGGATGCTGGAGGCGGCTCGTCGTCGGGTTGTTGAGGATGTTTTCTGTCTTCCGCCAGGCGAGCAGCTCCGTCCGCAGAGTTCTCGGTGGACCGGACCCGGCACCTCATGTCCTTCCTCACCATGCTGGGCCCGAGTCCGGACTGGAACGTGGGGCTGTCGGGGGAAGACCTGTGCACCAAGGACTGCGGCTGGGTCCAGAGGCTGGTGACGGACCTCATCCCCTGGGACGCCGGCACCGACGGCGGGGTCACGTACGAAGTAAGTGGTCCTTCGTTCTCCTGCAGCCGGGGTGACTCCGGGTCGGACCGACTCTCACGGGTCGACGTTCTCTCATGAGGAGAGAAGCCCCACGTCGACCCCCGTCCAGGATTAACCCGTGATTTAGGCGTCAGGTGGAAGAAACTACCCGAGAACACCTCCACGGTTTCACTAAAGCTTCTATCTGGTCCTAGAAACGATGTTCTGAAGGTCCAATCGGGTCTTGGTGGTATTTCACGTGTTCAGATTATAACGAACGGGTTTAAAACAACTGCAGACGACTCATCATTCAGCTCATCTAACGCAGTTTGTTTGTTTTTTTTAAATTGGACCAATACGAAGTAGTTGAGGACGATTTTGTGTAACTTTGGACTATTTGAGTCATTTTCAGCAGGTTTCAGGTGTTTCTGAACGATTTAGGAGAAATTTTGGACACATTTTGGGCAGTTCTCGGGTAATTTTAGACTATTGTCTTGTAATTTAACCACTTTTTGATGGAAAACACGTCTGAGCTCAGCTAAAAACTGACACCAGATCAGCTCTACATCCATCCAGGAGTCTCAGTCTGAACACTGGACCTGGTTCTGTTCATGTCCTCCACAACCAGCTGGTAGCATCAGTATTATGGGATGTCTCATAGTGGTACCAGTTTAATGTCTATGACACAGAGTCATAGAAACCATCATTGGTACCCTGGATGTGGTTCTGGTTCTGATCATTCACCAGAGGAAACTTTACAAAGTGCATTCTGGGTAAACTTTCCAGGCTCATATCAGCATGTGTGATGGTGGTGGGTCAGAACCAGTTCTAGACGATGGAAGGACCGTTTGACCTCCATTTAGATGTAAACTGATCTGGTGTCAGTTTTTTAACAGAACT